ACAGATTTGCGGAGCCATGCACTTGGACAAATGCTTTGGCCATCATCTCTGCCTTCTCCTCATCTGTTACTGCCACATCCTCCCCACTCGTCAACACTGGATAATCCCACTCTCTTCTGACCCCACTCATCCTCTTAATCATGCTCCACACTTCTCCCACAGGTGTCGCCCTTCCAATGGTGTCACAGAACCGATGCCAACATGACCTCTTTGCCTGACGGATAGTTCTCCTCACCATGGCCTGGGCCTGCTTATACTGAATCAGATGTTGGAAGTTATGCGTCCTTTTCAGTACTCTAAATGCTCCTACTCCTCACCATTGCCCAACATTCCTCTGTCCACCATGGGACTGCTTTCCTCCTCCTCCTCCCTGAACTCTTAGGTATAGCCTCAGTAGCTGCCCCCACTAACACTGTTCTCACCCAGTTATTCATACTATCCACATCCCCTCTCATATCCACCCAAGCCATCACCTGCTCACTCAGCTCCTGAAACTGATCCCACTTTGCCCTTCCAAACACCCACCTGCCTACTCCATCCACTGACACCTCCTCCTCCCTCCGGCCTACTGTACATACAATGGGGTAGTGATCCCTCCCTACTGTCGACTCCTCCCATACCTCCCACTCACATATTCCTGCCATTGCACTAGATACCAGAGTGAGGTCCAAGGCAGACTCTTTCCCTGTGGCTTTCCCTGTGGCTCTAGTCCTGTGTAGCTCAATTGGTAGAGCATGGCGTTTGCAACGCCAGGGTTGTGGGTTCGTTTCCCACGGGGGACCAGTATGAAAAAAAAAAAAATGTATGCACTTACAGTCTGGATAAGAGCGTCTGCTAAATGACTAAAATATACATCAATCCTGGTCCCTCGGCCATCGTTCAGGCACACCAGATCTTTCTTTTCTAGCAAATGTTCCTTCACTTGGCCATTTCCATCCATCCGTTTCCCCCCCAAAGCGTGTCCCTACGAACCACTACATATCCCTGTATGATAAACTCCACAGTCGGTTTGAGCCATGTTTCCTGCACACAAATCACATCAGGCTTAGCTAGCATATCTACAATGAACTGCTTGAACTCCTGCCCATTAGCTAACAGGCTTCAAGCATTCCACTGTAGTACTACCACCATAAATAAGATCCAGTAATACATGACTCCACCCTCGGCTGATTGAGATAATCTCGAACCTCTTCCCATGTCAACCCTGTCATACTCAAATGTCTCCCAGCAGCCTTCACTATTAGTTTAATCTTCTCTGTTTTAGACTCTACTTTATCGGTGCTATTGTTAGCTCCTGCTATAAACATCACCAGCTTTCTCTTTTCTATGTATACCATCTCGCCGCCCACCTGCCCTGTAATCCCCGGTCTAGATGCTCACATCTCTCCCTTGAACCTATATCTCCCTGGACCACCCTCACTGCCTCAGCATATGACACCCTTCTCTCCACTCTCACTTGTTGCACCTCCACTTCCTGCTTCATAGCCTCACACCCACTATATGCCACACTATGAGCACCCCCACTGCTGCAGCACTTTGGTTGTCCACCATCTCCACACATCCCATACTCATGCTCCCCTCCACACCTGGCACACCTATTTTTCTCTTTACAGACTGTTGCTACATGCTCAAACCTCTGGCATTTATAACATCTTAAAGGCTTCAGTACATAAGCCCTCACATAATAAATCATATATCCTGTTGTTACTTTATTTGGCAGTACCCGGTCCTTGAAATGTAACAGAATAGATGTGCTATCTACCCTAACTCCACCTCTTGTTGCTTGTAATCTTTGAACATTCACTAGAATGCCTCCTCTCAAATTGTCCCTTACCTCTTTAGTGCTAACACTCACAGGCACTCCTGCTATCACCCCTTCAATCCACTGCTTCTCTGCTTGATCAGTCCAGCTGCTCGACTCCACCTTACACTTCCCTATTTGCTTCACTCAGAGAGCTTTTTTCCCTCTGCGCCATGTCCTTACAGAACACCAACAAGCTCCCATCTCTTAACACTTTAGCATTGACAACTTCCCCAATCAACTATTTTATCACAGCCATCAGCCTTATCGGACTCATCGCCCCAACTCCCCATTCCTCCCTAAACTTCAGAAACACTTTATGCTCCTCCTCACCTCCATGCTCCCCTCGCGTCTTATCTTGCCCTTCCTCTGCACTTTATACCTCCGAACTTCTGCTAGCGTTGGAAGCTAGGTTCCTCTCCTCAAACGTCATTTTCTGCCTCCATAGACCTCTCGCTCCCCTTCAAACCCCTACACCCTTTCTCTCCCGCTTTCTTTTTCTTACTCCCTCCTTTATTTGTACCACTATGTTCCATACTTGCTTCACCTTCTTCTCCATCACTATCTCCTACCATTTCTGACCCATTCACAGCACAGCCATGCCGAACCGCCGCCACACTGAGTAAAGTTTGTTTGCTTTTCAACGATTTATCCCACCTACTCATCTAACCTCTCCAAACGCAACCTTCCTGTCTGTGTCTCTGCTTCGTCAACCTCAACTGTGGGTCCCTTCTTCTTCTGTGGGTTTTACGGCGGACTACAACCCAAAAAGGTGTATTGCTGCGACCAACTGGACGGGTTGAAACCAAAACAAGGTCAAAATAAAATCCATACGTGATAGGGAAACTAACTTCATCCACCCAAATAAAAATAGTACATTGACAAAACAAAACACCCACTTCTTCCTTCTTTCAATTCTCCATATCTCCCTTAGACCCTGAGAGGGCGGTAGGACTTGTGAAAATATTCCATGAAACTCCTTCGCCAAGAAATCTTTCAGCCCCAGGAACCGCTCCACCGCTTCCACAATGATTTCTATCTTCCTGGACCTTCTCTCCACCTGGACTTCCTGACGGGCTGCCCCCAGGTGGTAAGGGTAGGTAACAACACATCTGCCACGCTGATCCTCAACACGGGGGCCCCTCAGGGGTGTGTGCTCAGTCCCCTCCTGTACTCCCTGTTCAACCATGACTGCATGGCCAGACACGACTCCAACACCATCATTAAGTTTGCCGATGACACAACAGTGGAGGCCTGATCACCGACAATGACGAGACAGCCTATAGGGAGGAGGTCAGAGACCTGGCCGTGTGGTGCCAGGACAACAACCTCTCCCTCAACATGATCAAGACAAAGGAGATGATTGTGGACTACAGGAAAAAGAAGAGGACTGAGCACGCCCCCATTCTCATCGACAGGGCTGTAGTGGAACAGGTTGAGAGCTTCAAGTTCCTTGGTGTCCACATCACCAACAAACTAACATGGTCCATGCTGTGATCTAAATATACTAGTCAGAGCAATCTCTGCTACAGTAAAACCAATAGGCTACAACAACCAATATGTTTACAGTAGCCTAGTTCAGAATGGCAGTCATATCTTAGTTAATTCAGTACATTCACGTTTAATTGTGCAAAATCAAGAATCGGACAGCATCAACATGAAATCTCATCTATTCAAAATCAGCAATGATAGTGTCATAGTTTGAAGATAATGCACTTCCCTTTGATTTGCATAGAATAAAAAAAATACAGTCTTCAGCGAAGGCACCTCTCTGTCCTGTATACAGTACACATTTTCACATTAACAGAGAGAGAGGCCTAGCTGTTGACATGTAAGCAGAGATGCCTTTACCATTTCCACCTAGTATTGCCATAAGAAATAAAGTATCACAATACTATTACTGTTTTGTACGTCATACAATCAATGATGTTAACTTTGGCTTGAGCTGTCTCCACCTCAAAGTACATGTGCGTTCAACAAGCTTGTTGTATAACAGTAAGACCTATTCAGTCTGTCTACAAACAGGCTCTCAAAGTGCTTGATAGGAAGCCCAATAGCCATCATCACTGTCACATCCTTAGAAAGCATGAGCTCCTGAGTTGGGAAAATCTTGTGCAATACACCGATGCATGTCTTGTATTCAAGATCCTAAATGGTTTGGCTCCCCCTCCACTCAGTATTTTTGTTAAACAGAAAAACCAAACATATGGCAGCAGATCCACAAGGTCTGCCATGAGAGGTGACTGTGTAGTTCCCCTAAGGAAAAGCACCTTTAGTAAATCTGCTTTTTCTGTGAGAGCTTCCCATGTCTGGAATACACTGCCATCAGACACACACAACTGCACCACATATCACACTTTCACAAAATGCTTGAAGACATGGCTAAAGGTCAATCAGATTTGTGAACATGGTCCCTAGCTGTGTGTTGCCGCTTTCCATGTCTGTTGTCTGTAACTTGTGAGGTGTGGAAACATTTTGTTGCTTTTATGAATTTTGTCTTGCTGCTTTTTGTTCTATGTTGCTCGTCTGTATGCTACGTCTTGCTTGTCCTATGTTGCTATGTCTGTATGCTATGTCTTGTTCTATGTTGTTATTGTCCATATTGTAATTGTTTTTAATAACCTGCCCAGGGACTGCGGTTGAAAATTAGCCGGCTGGCTAAAACCGGCACTTTTACTGAAACGTTGATTAATGTGCACTGTCCCTGTAAAAATAAACTCAAACTCAAACACGAAGACCACTGCGATAACCATAGACTATATAATAGACTCTATAACATTGATAAACTTATTCAAGTGTTGCTCATTAAAGTCCGTCAAAGCTGGTCAAATGGCTACCAAATCCCTATACTCTTACTGATTATTCAATAATAATGCATTACTCAAGGTTTTGGACACCGTGAAATAGATTTTAGTTGAATCTATTCAATCTACTGTGCAAATTTTAAATCCCTTAAAAGGTCCAATACAGCTGCTGTTATAGAAAATTGGGAAAGGGGTGGAGTTTGACAGTTTTTTTGTTGTTGACCTTTAACTAATTAACTGCCTGGTGATGTCACTAGTCAAGCCAAAACTCCATCCCACCAAAACAGGCTGAAATGTAAGGTGGTCTTTACAAACAGCTCTTACACTAAAAAGGGCATTATCATCATTTTCACCATTTCACTGTATTATTCCAACCACATTGTGTGGAAATATATATAAACCACAGGAAAATCACATTTTCGACTGCACTGGGCCTTTAATAAATTAAGGGTACTGTAATGTAATGCCTTGGATATGGGGCACTCCATAGTCCATGATTGCCAGTCAGTCAGTGTTAGCTACCAATGGAGCCCAAGCTCTCTCAGTAGCGTGGTGCTTCACATTCAGACTTACTGGGACTGCTGCTATCAGGTCCACTTCGCTGACTACCCCCCTCAGACTTCCAGGAGTGCTTCTCTGGGGGGTTGAGGACCTCTGCCCCCGTCTCGATACCCAGGACCTGCCTCTGCACCAGCTTGCAGTACAGGCCCCCCTTGGCCATGAGTTGGTTGTGTGGCCCCTGCTCCACCACACAGCCACCGTCGATAACTATGATGTTGTCTGACCTTTCCACTATGCTGAGGCGGTGGGCGATCACCAGCACTGTGTGTTGACGCATGTTGTTGTTCAGGGCCTGCTGGACCTGAAGAGAGAGAACATGGAGAGGATCCTTACCTACACTAAGTCTAAACAACACAAGATATAGTATTCAGAAAACTAGAGAAAGTGGCATGAAATTCAAGACCACAGATAAGGAGAATATCTTTGAATGCTGGCAAAGATTCTTCTGCAATAATACTGACCTTTTGAAAGCAGCATAGTTACATTGCAGACAGTTAATGTACAAAAAGCTGTGAAGTATTTGTAGTTAATCATATCAGTAATGTTAGTTCATTATATCAGAGCTGTAGCTCCGCCCACCGGTGAAGTGGAGCAGAGCATGCTGGGCGATCTCCAGCTTAGAGAAGATCAGCTCGAGAGAAGTCAAGCGAGAGAAAGTTCCAGCCATCCTCATGTTTTCCCAACAGTTAGCTTTCATTGTGTTAGCCAAGGCCGGTGTGCGTCCTTGTTGATATGTAAGTACATATTTCATATCTTTCAGGTGTTTATGTCTGAAGATGCACTCTTATGATAATGCAATATTTATGGTTATGCTAATTAGTAGTTTATACTGCGAGCTAGCTATTGTGAGCTGGCTAGCTCTGGTTTGGTTGTCATATCATTTCGGACATTTAACCCTGTATTTGTAAAGGATAATGTCCCCCAATGCGTTGTTTATATGCCCTGTAATTGTATAGGTGTATGATACATCATTATATGGGTATTACATTATATTTCACTGTTTAGAGGTATGCAAGTTCATTGTGCAGTTGTAGCCTTGAACTGAAGATGATGGTGCTATGCCTTGTAGTACACGTGCAGCGGCACTCCTTGGATCTCAATTAGTGCAGTCACAGTCACATTGTATTGTGCTGTATGGTCCTGTATAGCATTAAGTCATCATAGTCATGTTATAGCCATGCATATTGTTTATAAGAGATGTGAATTGGAGATTGTATTCTGTCATTCACTATTGTATGACTCTTTACTTGCAGACCACATACAAACTTTTGGTTAACACAATTATCAAGCCATACACTGTGCTGTGCCGTTACTGCTCTGTGAATCAGCGTCATTAAACAACCTCAACTGGAATCATACCAGTCTGTCATCTGTGCCCTTACAAGTACATGGGAGAGAACACATAGTGCTGAGTAAAACCTAACCCTACAGAATATACAGTCCACCAAGTCCTCAACTACATTGTGGTTCTTCGAGCTGGATAAAGGTGTTCACTCCCGGATCAAGATGCAGCAAGTTACTGGTGAAGCATGGACCTGGTCTGATCATCCAAGGCGCCAAGCCTCACCTTATCCAAGTTATAGTAGCACAGCACGGTATGATGTACATGGGCAGGAAGAGGAGAGTTATTCTCATCATGAAGGAGTGGCCAAGATGCCCCCTTCACCTCGTCATGTGCAACCTCATCCACTCGCCAGGTTCAATGAGATGCTGCCCCAGAGTGGGACCATCAGAGCCATCATCACAGAGGGTATGGTTCAGAACCCCAGCTAGCCCACAGCCTGCAGAGGAAAAGAGAGCACATGGAGGTCAGCAGAGAAGGCTCCACACCCTACGCTTACCGGGAACACAGGAAGCTGCCAACAGCTTACCAAGCAGAGCTACAGGAGATCCGGAAAGAGAACGAGAAGCTGCGTATCTCTCAATGAGGAAGCTTGTGGATAAGGTCTGCAGTCTCCAGCCACCCCTTGACCCGACTGCAGCCAGCTACACCCCCACAAAGTCTACTCAACAACAGTCTGGCCCCGCTGTACGAATTGAATCGGTTCTTCCAGTCCACCTCATTCCCCCACCTGAGCTAGAGGAAGAGTTCAGCGAGGAGTACAGTGAGGAGTACGATAACGATGAAGAGGAATGCGATGACGTTGAGTGGCCTGATCCACCACCATGGCCTACAGAGGAAGAATCAGAGCAGCCAGAGAAAGAACAAGTAGTAGACCTCCTGGATAAGATGATGAGTGAGCTCAAAGTCATGAGGGATCAGGCTACTTCTGCTGCTGCTAAGCAGAGCAGACCAGCATCAGTAGTCAAGACTCTAGGCCACCCTACAAGAGAGGCTACACCTTCGCCGTGTCCCAGAGAGTCAAGTTACCATCCTGATGTGGACTATAGCCAACCTCCTCACCAGGCCAGTGCTGCACCTTCACAGTGCTATGTCGGTGCAGTGACCCGGAAATCTTTTCCTCCTAGGGCTCACCCTCATGCAGCAGCCTATGAGCAACGAAGAGCTGCCAGCCAAAGGCAACCAGAGCACCCACCAGGTCGCCGACCAGGTCGGGTTCCATGGATACCTAGGCCAGCCCCTCAACCCCATCCGCAGCCCCCTAGAGGCTTCACCGCCGCAGCAGCAGTGCAGACTTACAGAGGGCCTAGGCCAACCATCCCTAACTTCAACAGCCGAGACCCAAATGAGTTTGCTCGCCTGAAGATCGCACTAGGGAGCCTCCTGCCAGCTGACGGGAACGAGCTCTTCAAGTATCAGATCCTAGTCAATCACTTAAAGCTAGAAGAAGCCTGCCTAGTGGCAGATTCATACCTCAACTCCCCCACGCCTTACTCAGACACCATGGCAGCCCTGAACGAGAAGTTTGGACAACCCTGAAGAAGATAGCCAGTGTCATGGACTCTCCCGATGTACACCGTGGAGATACAGCTGCCTTTGAAAAGTTCGCACTACAGGTCCAGTCCTTAGTGGGCATGCTCCGGACACTGGGTCCAGATGGCGACATAGCGCTGATGTGTGGATCTCATGTGGCACGCCTACTCAGCAAGCTACCACCTGAGATGAGGTCAGACTTCCGCCGTCGCATGTTTCATCAGCCAGGTAACACACACACACACACACACACACACACACACACACACACACACTTTGGTTGAAGCAAGTTGCCAGACCACTAAGTGCCTTAGCCCATCCATACTACATACACCGTGCTGTACTGTTCCGTGCCTGTCCATATTCAGCGTTATTAAACCACCTCAACTGGAATCTTACCTGTCTGTCATCTGTTCCCTTACCAGCACATGGGAGCGAACACATAAAGAATATATAGTCCACCAAGTCCTCACTTACAGTTTATTTATACTAAAAGAGGATTCTCCAGGGTTAAAAGTATCTAGTATAGTTCAAGACTTGATTTGCCTGAAGACAGAGAGCAGGGAGGACACCAGCAGCTGAGAGTAGTTATCATAACATTAGACTGCATTTAGAGAAGTAGGTTATTGAACTAAAACAAGAACTAGGTTATTGTCATGAAACTTCAGGAGATGGATATAAGTGACAAACACCAGCTTCGAGGGCATTATCCCTTTTATACAATGGGTTACCAACATATTCAAATAATTATTTACATATGTTTATTAAAAACATTATTCTGATTAATGTATTCGTACTATTTCATACTTCCACAAGATATAGTCCCGACACAAATCTACGGTTGCTACCCAAGCCGGCTGGTCGTTCGTTCTATTGGTTCGGTTGCCAGAGAAGCGACCCAGTCATTCAGTCTTTTTGTTCTGTATCTATGGACGCGACCTAGTCGTTCGTTCTAAATGTTCCATTGCCATACTGGCTGGCAACGTTCTTATCCCTTACTTGCTAGCTAGCCAACTACGGCTAATTTACAGTCACATCAAAAAGTGCAACCAGAATAACAGCAAAGTAGCGCATTTGTTTAAGTTGTTTTCTAGTGACATTTATTTGGATACATCCATAACAATGAGCTAATGAGGCACGATTTCGCTTGGCATAGAAAATGTGCTCACTCCTCAGGACACTTGTTCAGAGGATCTAGCAAACAGCACAGTTAACGCAATCACTTCAAATTGAAGCTGGAAAGACTGCAAACTACAGTAGCTGCTCTTCGTTTAGTTTTACCTTTTTTCAATTGACATTTCTTTGTATATATCCATAAAAATGATGCCAGCTGATTCATGATTTCAACTGGCTGAGAAACGCTGCCTGCCTGTCTGTCTCATCCCAACTCGTTCATTACAATGGGACAGCTGGAGATCGAATTTGAATATTGAAACAATGTTGCAAATGTTGGAGAGACAGACAGCAAGGTTACAAATCTCCGCTGTTGAAAACGAAATGTTAGTCTAAAATAAATGTGAGATAATGTCTAGGTGCTTTTTATAGTGGAGATCAAGTTTATAACTTGCCTGGCTGGGCTGATGAGACAGTGGATTGCGCAGTCAGATGGAACAGAGTAAATAGGCATTTTAACGTCATAGATTTAGCCGGTGGTAACTTGTGGAATAGACACCAGCTGAAATGCGCTTTTAACCAGCATTCAGGATTAGACCCACCCGTTGTATAATACTCTTCCTCTTTAAAGCCACCAAGGCAGGGAGGGGTTTTCATTTTCCAGGATATACTGTATCTTTATCTATAATTCACAACTTGATCTAATTAAACACAGATTACAGAACACTGATTTGACCTGCCTCTTTACTTACAACATGTTCGCTCTCTGCATCCAGTGCACTGGTGGCCTCGTCCAGGATGAGAACATGTGGGTTGCGGATGAGTGCCCGTGCGATGGCCACCCGTTGCTTCTGTCCCCCTGACAACTGGGTCCCCTTCTCACCCACTCCTAAGAGAGGAACGAGGAACAATTCCACTGTGTTAGAGATCTTAAAATAGAAATGCAAAATCATATGAAAATCGTGAGGAGATGCTGTGTTTCTCAACATACTGATCGGCCAATTTCCATGAACATCATAAGATTTAGCAGTTTTTAGTTACCTCCTGTGGGGATCTAGATGTGATGCCTAACTTAGAAGGAATGCATTAATGATTAAACATAATGGGTTTGTACTGTACTGATATAAATTGTTTCACATAACAAGCTGTGATTCATGTGAGGAACGTTAGGGGGTAGGATGAGATAAGAACTTGTGATTCTCACAGACACATACACACTGCCTCTTTGTTATACCGCGCTCAAGGACGTGTACTGCAAAAGTGCTGACTTTCTGGATAAGTTGCAAAACAACTAGACACCTGGCAACAGTGAAGCGCCAAGGGACTGGGACCAGCCTGTGCGCCAACGGATAGGCTGAGTAAGTCTAAACCACGCTCAGTCTCTACTCTGATTGGCCAGCAGGGAGCGGGAACTATCTCTGTCAGAGTATTTGAAGAAGAACTTAGAACAATGGATCAGTTCTCTGAGTGCCCTGCGTGGTATTTCAGTGGACCCGTATATACGAACATCATATTTACCATTGAAGTGGTTTGCATTAATTAAATTACTAGTCTATTTTAGAAGACGTGTATTGACCTCTTTTGTTCCTAATACCAGATTTGAATTGACGCAACTTAACACTCCTAAGATGTTCGTTTTTATATTTCACTCCAACAGTTTAGGCAATAGCATTAATATCACCTGTGTCATAGCCATTGGTTAGACCGGTGATGAAGTCGTGTGCGTTTGCCTTGGTGGCTGCCTGCACCACAGCCTCCATAGGGATATCAGTCAGGCCATAGGTTATGTTCTGCTCTACAGAACGGGAAAACAGGACAGGCTCCTGGCCCACAAGTGCTACCTGCAAAAACAACACAGATATAGAGGCTGTCTTCTTGCATTGGGATCTTTACCAGTCTTCAACTAAAAATGAACACTGCTGCCCTGGTGGTAAAAAAGGATAAACTGTATCTAACACGAGACAGAATATGGGGATTTCATGGCAAACTTCTCAGGTAGTAATGGCGATTTAACACAGATTCTCAAAGACGCCATTGTAAACAAGGAGTTAAAACATCAGAGGAGAAGTGTGGAGTGCTGACCCGTGAATGGAGGAGGTCATGCTGGTAGGTGTGCACCTGCCGGCCGTCCAGCAGCACCTGGCCTTGTTGTGGAGAGTAGAAGTTCTCTAGGAGCCCCACACAGGAGGTCTTCCCACTGCCTGATGGTCCCACCAAGGCTGTCACCTCCCCAGGCCGCAACGTGAAGGACACACTCTGGAGACATAAACCAGAGGCATATACAGTGTAGAAAGTCTACACCCCCTTGACATTTTTTCACATTTTGTTGCGTAACAAAGTGGGATTAAAATTGATTTTTGTCAACGATCTACACAAAACACTGTAATGTCAAAGTGGAAGACATTTCTGAGTCAATACATGTTAGAAACACGTTTGGCAGCAATTACAGATGTGAGTCCTCTTGGGTAAGTCTCATAAGAGCTTTGCACACCTGTATTGCCCAATATTTGCCCATTATTCTTTTCAAAATTATTCAAGCTCTGTCAAGGTGTTAAGGATCATGGCTAGACAGCAATTTCCAAGTCTTGCCATAGATTAATCAAGCAGATTTAAGTAAAAACTGTGAATTCCTCTCCCAGTGTCTGGTGTAAAGCAGACCGAAGCAGGTTTTCCACTAGGGTTTTGCCTGTGCTTAGCTCCATTCTTTTCATCCTGAAAAACTCCCAGTCTTTGCTGATGTCAAGCATACCCATATCATGATGCAGCCACCACCATGCTTGGAAATATGGAGGCAGCTACTCAGTGATGTACTGTGTTTTCCCCAAACATAAGGCTTTGCATTTAAGTCAAAAACAGTATTACTTTAGTGCCTTGTGCAAACAAGGATGCATGTTTTGGAACATTTGTATTCTTCTTTTCACTCTGTCATTTAGGTCATTGTTGTGGAGTCACTACAATGTTGTTGATCCATCCTCAGTTTTATCCCATCACAGCCATTGAACTCTGTAGCTGTTTTAAAATTACCAATGGCCTCATGGTGACATCCCTAAGCTGTTTCCTTCCTGTCCTGCAGCTCAGTTCAGAAGGACGACTGCATCTTTGATGTGTGGGGTGGTTTAATACATCATCCACAGCATAATTATTAACTTGACCATGCTTGAAGATACACTACATAGCCAAAAGTATGTGGACACATGCTCGTCAAATATCTAATTCCAAAATCATGGTCCCCCCATTGCGGCTATAACAGCCTCCACTCTTCTGGGAAGGCTTTCCACTACATGTTGGAACATTGCTGCAGGGACTTCCTTCCATTCAGCCACAAGAGCATTAGTGAGGTCGGACACCGATGTTGGGCGATTAGGCCTGGCTCGCAGTCGGCGTTCTAATTCATCCCAAAGGTGTTCGATGGGGTTGAGGTCACTGTAATGTCAAAGTGGAAGACTGGCTTTGTGCAGGCCAGTCAAGTTCTTCCACACCGATCTCGACAAACCATTTCTGTATCGACCTCGCTTTGTGCACGGAGGCATTATCATGCTGAAACTATTTCTGGAAAATGTATTCTCCTAAATTCTAAATTTGTTATTTTATTAGGATCCCCATTAGCTGTTCAAAAGCAGCAGCTACTCTTCCTGGGGTCCACACAAAACATGAAACATGACATAATACAGAACATGAATAGACAAGAGCAGCTCAAGGACAGAACTACATACATTTTTTTTAAAGGCACACGTAGCCTACATATCAATACATACATACAAACTATCTAGGTCAACTAGGGGAGAGGCGTTGTGCAGTGAGGTGTTGCTTTATCTGTTTTCTGAAACCAGGTTTGCTGTTTATTTGAGCAATATGAGATGGAACGGAGTTCCATGCAATAATGGCTCTATATAATACTGTACGCTTTCTTGAATTTGTTCTGGATTTGGGGACTGTGAAAAGACCCCTGGTGGCATGTCTGGTGGGGTAAGTGTGTGTGTCAGAGCTGTGTGTAAGTTGGCTGTGCAAACAATTTGGGATTTTCAACACATTAATGTTTCTTATAAAAAGAAAAAGTGATGCAGTCAGTCTCTCCTCAACTCTTAGCCAAGAGAGACTGGCATGCATAGTATTTATATCAGCCCTCTGATTACAATGAAGAGCAAGACGTGCCACTAAATAAATCATATTTAATTACCATAAATCCCATGAAAACTATAGAATGACAAACCAAATAAATATGTATAGCAGCCTAGAGGTAAGTAAATGGTGGTTTCTTCCCTGTCTTCTCTCTGGCGGTGGGGAGAATGATGAAGAACTTTATGCTGTGTATGTGCACTGTGAAGGCCTGTTGGAGGCTTGACCACTTTGGCCAATCAGAACGTTGAAAAAAACCAATCACAGTGTGTCTGCCTTGATGTTCATAAAACACCACGGACCCTCTCTTGCGCAGTGGAATCCAGAACGATGTGTGACCACTTGGTTACGGCAACACCATTCTGCCGAGCACACCCAAACCAGAGTGGTCACTGCAAAGCCCAAGGAGCCTGACCCTATCCGCAAAGCCCAAGGAGCCTGACCCTATCCGCAAAGCCCAAGGAGCCTGACCCTATCCGCAAAGCCCAAGGAGCCTGACCCTATCTGCAAAGCCCAAGGAGCCTGACCCTCTCTGTAAAGCCCAAGGAGCCTGACCCTCTCTGCAAAGCCCAAGGAGCCTGACCCTCTCTGTAAAGCCCAAGGAGCCTGACCCTCTCTGCAAAGCCCAAGGAGCCTGAACCTATCTGCAAAGCCCAAGGAGCCTGACCCTATCTGCAAAGCCCAAGGAGCCTGACCCTCTCTGCAAAGCCCAAGGAGCCTGACCCTCTCTGCAAAGACCAAGGAGCCTGACCCTCTCTAGAAGCCCAAGGAGCCTGACCCTCTCTGCAAAGCCCAAGGAGCCTGACCCTCTCTGCAAAGCCCAAGGAGCCTGACCCTATCTAGAAGTTGCTGTAGCCCTGCTTGGGATATTTAGCTTATTGGCTATTGGTTGAGACTGAGGGCCCGTTCTAGCTTGGTATGTCAGGGTGGGAAATTGGAAATGTGAATTTGGCCAAAAATGGAGGTAATAATGTATTTATTTAGGTTATAGTTTATTGAGATGCATGAATACACCACACCAATAGCACGGTTTTATGGCTGTTTTCAAACAAATTTCCTGAAATTATATTTAGTAATGTTCACTACTTGGTCAATTGATTTGATAGCATGTTTAAATCTAGGCAAATAAATGATATGAATTGATAGTTCACCTCTCTGTTTTCTTTTATTCTGTAATAGGATATATTGTAATCATGTGTTCAAGCTACTGAAATCAGGGGCTCTTGTTCAGTGCCACTTCGACTATGTGTGCTCTTCCTGGTGCAATACTGCCCCCAAGATAATTGCAAATAAATTGCAGACATCTCAGAACAAATTAGTCAGGATTATTCTTAAACTTCCAGCACGTACTCATGTTGACCATTCCCACTTTGAAAGCCTTAGATGGCTCAAAGTGGAGGAGAGAGACTCTCGGATTAAATTGTGTCTTGTACACAAGATTTTCCACCGTATGGTCCCCAGGTACCTACTTTAACTTGGTCCGAAATAACCATAATTATTCCACTACACTAATAAAAATGGTGGTTCAACAAGGCTTCTTCTAAGATCCTCAAAGTTCTTTGAAGAACCTTGGGGTTCTTGGCACTGAAAATGGCCCCCAAAAAGTTATTCCAAGAACCCCATAGGAGTTGGGGATCATTGAGGAACCTCCTTAGTTGGTGGGGGTTCTTGCAGGAACCTAACTGCCCAACTGAAACATTTGGTTTTGAATTTGAAAGGACAGCAGGTGCAGGCACTTGTATGATCTAAATTGATATTGTTTTATGATGATACTATCTATCTTTCCATATTTGTGCAAATCTTTCTAAAACAGAAAATGGACACAATTCAATGGATATCAATCAACAAAGAGGTAAGAATATGTTGAAGGCTAGCTGTATTGGGTGCAGATGACTGTACTGCTCACTTTGGTGTCTGTGTCTGCAGGTATACAGACGAGAAGGCATTCAATTGGTATTGGTATGTTATGCAGATCACATTTACCTTCTTCTTCCCTTACCCCGTCAATGAATATCCTATAGGCCTCTACATTATGGACAAGGTATGTGTATGAAAATTATTATCAAAACTGTTTTTTTATTCACATTCACCACAAAAACCAAGGTATTAATTCTGTTGTGTGCATGTTTTGTTAATCACCTGTATAATTACTATTTTTTGGGATTCACAGACTTCACACTCCCTACACCTCTGATGAATATAACAGGAAACCTGTTCGATCACCATGCACTGAAAAATCATTCTGTCTATGGATACGGAGAACATCAACATCAACAATTTGGGCTCTGCTGGGAGTTTACCTCATATTTGGATTTTTAATTCTGCTTTGCCACTAAAATCATAATAAACACTGAGAACTAAAATATTGTGTTATTGTTGTTATTGTTATGCATATTATTATTATTATTATTATTATTATTATTAATAATAATAATAATACAGGAGGGGGTAGTACATTTTACGTATGGGTGGTCCCGGGGATCGAACCCACTACCCTGGCGTTACAAGCGTCATGCTCTACCAATTGAGCTATAGAGGACCATTACAGTCATATTGCCAAATCCTCTAAATCAGGGGTGTCAAACTCATTCCATGGAGGGCCTAGTGTCTGCTGGTTTTTGTTTTAAGACCTAGACAACCAAGTGAGAGGAGTTCCTTACTAATTATAGACCTTAATTCATCAATCAAGTACAAGGGAGGAGTGAAAACCAGCAGACACTCGGCCCTCTGTGGAATGAGTTTGACACCTGTGCTCTAAATATATGTCTCTGACACCCCTTCATTCACACCCAGCCATCATGGCATAGGCATACATACAGTATCACTAATATAAGTTTAGACATGACGAAATGTAGTGACATTGATCAATAGCTTTATTTTATGATTGATAGACAAGAGACGTGTAGCGGCTAACTTTACTCTATGGTAATGGTATATAAGCTTTCTGCTGGCCTGAAATGATACAGAATTACCTGACAACAGTTTTTCTGTCTATAGCTCCACTCAGCAGTCTAGCTTTGAGCCCAATTTGAATGGTCAGCTGACACATACCTTTACAATTTCAATTTCGGGCCGTGTTGGGTAGGAAAACGTGACGTCTTTAAACTCGACCAGTCCTTTGCAGGTGTCATGGACCTCTTTCACATCATGTGGGTGTTTGGACTCCCTGTCCATGTACTCAAACACCTTCTCAGCTGCTCCCACTCCCTGCATGAGACCTGTGAAGACCGATGCTATGCTCTGTAACTCAAGTCATTCAAGACAGGGGTAATATAATTATAATGGTCTCTTTCAGTTCCTCTGGATTTTCATAGTGTAAGTCTTCATCATCACACATCCATTTTGCCTATGGTAATGTAAGGTTGCTAAAGGGATAGGTTGTGATTGTCAGTTACAGATGTACAGTATACAGTTGAAGTCGGAAGTTTACATACACGTAGGTTGGAGTCATTAAAACTTGTTTTTCAACCACTCCACAAATGTCTTGTTAACAAACTATAGTTTTGGCAAGTCGGTTAGGACATCTACTTTGTGCATGACACAAGCAATTTTTCCAACAATTGTTTACAGACAGATTATTTCACTTATAATTCACTGTATCACAATTCCAGTGGGTCAGAAGTTTACATACACGAAGTTGACTGTGCCTTTCAACAGCTTGGAAAATTCCAGAAAATGATGTCATGGCTTTAGAAGCTTCTGATAGGCTAATTGACATCATTTGAGTCAATTGGAGGTGTACCTGTGGATGTATTTCAAGGCCTACCTTCAAACTCAGTGTCTCTTTGCTTGACATTATGGGAATATCAAAAGAAATCAGCCAAGACCTCAGAAAAAAACTGTAGACCTCCACAGGTCTGGTTCATCCTTGGGAGCAATTTCCAAATGCCTGAAGGTACCACGTTCATCTGTACAAACAATAGTACGCAAGTATAAACACCATTGGACCACGCCGCCATCATACCGCTCAGGAAGGAGACACGTTCTATCTCCTAGAGATTAACGTACTTTGGTGCGAAAAGTGAAAATCAATCCCAGAACAACAGCAAAGGACCTTGTGAAGATGCTGGAGGAAACAGGTACAAAAGTAACTATATCCACAGTAAAACAAGTCCTATATCGACATAAACTGAAAGGCTGCTCAGCAAGGAAGAAGCCACTGCTCCAAAACCGCCATAAAAAAGCCAGACTACGGTTTGCAACAGCACATGGGGACAAAGATCGTACTTTTTGGAGAAATGTCCTCTGGTCTGATGAAACAAAAATATAACTGTTTGGCCATAATGACCATTGTTATGTTTGAAGGAAAAAGGGGGTTCCTTGCAAGCCGAAGAACACCATCCCAACCGTCAAGCACGGGGGTGGCAGCATCATGCTGTGGGGGTGCTTTGCTGCAGGAGGGACTGGTGCAAAATAGATGGCATCATGAGGAAGGAAAACTATGTGGATATATTGAAGCAACATCTCAAGACATCAGTCAGGAAGTTAAAGCTTGGTCGCAAATGGGTCTTCCAAATGGACAATGACCCCAAGCATACTTCCAAAGTTGTGGCAAAATGGCTTAAGGACAACAAATTCAAGGTGTTAGAGTGGCCATCACAAAGCCCTGACCTCAATCCTATAGAACATTTGTGGGCATAACTGAAAAAGCGTGTGCGCGTAAGGAGGCCTACAAACCTGACTCAGATACACCAGCTCTGTCAGGAGGAATGGGCCAAAATTCACCCAACTTATTGTGGGAAGCTTGTGGAAGGCTACCCGAAACGTTTGACCCAAGTTAAACAATTTAAAGGCAATGCTACCAAATACTAATTGAGTGAATGTAAACTTCTGACCCACTGGGAATGTGATGAAAGAAATTAAAGCTGAAATAAATAATTCTCTCTACTATTATTCTGACATTTCACATTCTTAAAATAAAGTGGTGATCCTAACTGACCTAAGACAGGGAATTTGTATTAGGATTAAATGTCAGGAATTGTGAAAAACTGAGTTTCAATGTATTTGGCTAAGGTGTATGTAAACTTCCGACTTCAACTGTATGTGCTAGTGTTGTTTCCTTGCTTTTTTAAAGATCCTATTTTGGACCTCTGATTTTGAACTCTGCATGGTTGAGAAGGAGCTTGTAAGTAAGCATTTCACTGTATGGTTTACACCCGTTGTATTCTGTCATGTGACAAATAAACTGATTAGATTTGAATGAGTCAGACTTGCCTTCAGTCACTCTCCTAGCTCCAGCTCATATAAGATGAACGATATCAGGCCCCCTCCACTCATCTGCTCAGTAACGACCAGGTGACCTCCGTAGTAGAGGACAGCCACTTCAAGAATAAGCTCTGAGATCTGGAGCAATGACAAACACATTTGAAACTCTTGTGAATTTGTGAATGTGCCCAACAACAAGGGTATGGCACCGATACAGTGGATACAACAACAAAAAACACAAGACAGATATAAAACATGAGGCTGCTCCTTAAATCTCAGTCTGTTGTATGTCAGAGCAACGTTCAGTCCCCGTCTATCTTTATTTATTGCACTTTTATTTAACCGGTCGAGTCAGTTATCATCTCACAGATGGTAGCTACTGTACATGGTAATACCTACACAACTGGACCACATGTAGAGGGCGTAGGCCAACGCTTGCTTCTTGTTCAGCTGAAACATGACCTGCAGCCTGCCGTAGTATGAATCAGCCTCCTGTTCCTCATTGGCAAAGCTGCGTACCGTCTTCATGGCTGAAACGGTCTCCTCGGCCACCTGGTTAGCCTGAGCCAGGGCAGTCTGGACCTCTTTTGTCAGTCTCTGAGGATGGTTAACAAGAAAATGTACAAACTAAATACTGTGTGAATTAATCTGTTAATACACATAAGTATTTCAACTTAATAAATGGGCTGGGGGCAAGTTTGGTTTGGAAAGACAAGTGAAGTGTGTGTGTGTTTGTATGTGTGTGTGCTTGTGCGTACCTTGTAGTACTCCCCATACACTTTGGAGATGACTGTGATGAAGGGGAATCCCATGATGGTGACCAGAGTCAGCTTCCAGGACATCCCGAACATGAAGATGAAGAACCCTATGCCCTTCACCATACTCTTTAGGAACATGTTGATGTTCAGAGAGATCAAGTCACTCACTTGAGTAGTGTCAGAGGACAGGCGAGAGGTGATGTCACCTAGAGGACAAACATTTTATTTTATTTTTCTAAACTCTTTTCGTATTTTCATTATTTCATGACAGGATAGGAACAGAAGCAGGGAGACAATGCATAGCGCTCATGCAGGGACCGAACCGGGATCACCGCCACGGGGACCAAACTCTGGGCCCAGGAGAAAAGCTTTTACACTTTGTGGAAGAGGAACATTTTATTTGTTATCTTATATGGCCTGAAGAAGGGACAGGTCATCCGATTCCTCGTAGTTTCTGTAAGATTGCTCTTAATCAGTGTCCTTGGTATGATTTGTCTTCTGCCTGTGGGGCTGCTATCTACTGATAAGCAGAAGTACCTGACTCATACGAATGGCATGTGAAACACCACACCCATCCTGGGTCTGTATAAAATGTCGGTGAGAACAAAGAGCGAGTTGAATTCGTTTTCCCATGCATGTTCAAATAAAGCTTTACTGTATTTTGAGATCGGATTGCCTTCTGAGTGGGTTTTTTCCTCCACAACTTTAACCCTTTACTTAAAGCCTGCAGGCATAGAGAGACGTAGCATAGTATAATAATCCTTGTCATAAGACATTATCACTTTAAATGTATTATCCATGCTTATAACAAGTTATAAAGCATTAATAACAAGGTATAAAGCATGAACAACAAGTTATAAAGCATTATAACTTGCTATAAAAGGTAGACTAGCTCTTGTCATGTGTCAGCTGATGGGGATCTAAGTAAAGATTATACCTGCAGACTTAAGTGTTGCCAAGCGTTTTATGTATCTTCTGATCAGAGGATCAAAGGAAAAGGGAATTAATGTCCTAAATGACACCCTATTCCCTATTTAGTCTACTACTTTTGACCAGGTCCCATAGGGCTCTGGTCAAAAGTAGTGCACTATAAAGGAATAGGGTGCAATTTGGTGCACAGCCGAGATGTCACCTGTGTGGTTAGCATCAAAGAAGCCTATCTCCTGACACATCAGAGACCTGAAGAGAAGGTTCCGCAGGCGAAGATTCAGTCTGGCAAATGTTAGACTAAAGAGACCACCTCGTACTCCAACAGCAATAGAGCTGAGAAGAGATGCAAGAAATTAAACACTGCAAAGGATATACGCAACAAGCACACAATAATGTACGTCATAATCTATTCAAATGTAGAATCAAGCACAGATACAGTCCATCAGAGAAGATATAGCACACAACATAGTCTAAAAAGTTAACAACACACACACAACTTCAACCATTCATAGTGTCTTACCTGGCTAAGGCCAACACTGTAAGGGTGATCAGGGGCTTGGTAAAGTACTCCATACTTTTGTGAATAACAACGCCATCTATAGCCTGCCCAATGTAGTAGGGAATGAAGGCCTCACCTATGAAGGGGAACACATTGTACCATTAACTGTTATGAAATGCTAACAATAAGCACAACAGTGTAAAATAGAAATATGAAGGGACATTTGTAAGAATAGGGCAATAGTTATACAACATGCTTACGTTATTTACTCTTGTTGCATGAGTCATCTACTGTAAATGGACAGTAAGTTAGGCTAATGAGTAGTAGAGAAACATATTGCAACTGTAAATGCAATACCATGCTGGTGTGAGTAACACCGTCGTAAAACACAAACGCCTGGGATCAAAACAAAACTTCAAAGAAGCTAGTATTGCTGCTTTATTACACATTTGACCTACTGTAGATAGGATACTATCTCACACAGCACTGTGTAAAGTCTATGCCTCACAATGGTGATCATTAAGCAAGTTGATTTGTCATCTATAGGGCCCTGAGTTTTTTCTGACCATGTTAATGACCAACAAAAGGTCTAATGGGTCCACACTCAAAAAATATGTTGCATAAAGCTTACTTCATTATTATTATTTTTCACTGCATGTGTACACTATTCCTGATGCAGTCAAAATAATAAAAAGATACAAAAATGAAGCATTATGTGACATCTTTTTGAGTGCGGACCCATTACACCTTTTGTTTGTCTGAATTCGTGGGTTTTACGCACCAGCCAAGCTTCTGGGAGAGCGCGATGGTCCCCTTTTGACATGTTACTGACCAGGAAGAACTCTGTTGCCCAAGTAATAGGCTATAGGAGCCATTAGTTGTTCCTGGTCAGGCTTCATTGTCTCATGTCAGATAGCGTGAAGGCCGTTTCGGTTGAGGGACGAGCGTCACATAGAAGTAACGCCATCTAACGTGAGACATTGGGTCAGGCCCTAGTCATCTGAGGATTGTGTTTAAATAAGGGTTTTGACTAGATGGGATGATTGCAGCTGTCAGAAATGACTTTTCGTAGCAGGTTAGGAGAACTTACACAGCAGGTTATCAGAATTAGCGTGGCAGGTTAGGAGAATTAGGTTAAGGTTAGGAAAAGGGTTAGGGTTAGCTCAAATAAAAAAAATTATCCACGATGCAACTCTAACAAGCAACCTTTGACCAGTAGCGGTGCGTGGGTAAAATCACCGGGGAAGCCAATCCAGAAAAAAAACATATTACAACATGTGTTGTGATAATTGCGTTGTTTGCTCTATAATCTTTTAAGTTCATATGCCTTGACACCGTGATATATAGGCCTAAAGCTGAGACAATAAGAAGACAGTGGCAGAATAAATTCAACCACACCTTTGTTTCATCACAAAACCGGAGAGCAACATCTGTCCGGTGAGGTCCACAAAACATATTGCATGTAACAAACAGTTACATGACCTACAGCATGGTCAAGCAAGGTAATGTTTCCGACATTTTCGGACTACTAAACAACTATTGATTTAGAACCTTGGAGAAATACCGCAAGTCGCAAAGAAAACAGGAGTTGCCTCCACTATTCCAGCACTATTTCAACATCATCTAATCAACCATGCTTAGTCTAATAGTGACAACTAAAAGATACCAAAAACAATTTAGTCCAATCAACGTAATATGATGTGGCTGTCCATGGTACTTGAGCGTGCTGTCTCTGATCAACTTTCTCGTTATCTTCAGAACGACCCTAACCAGTCAGACTTCAAGATGGGTCACTCAACCGAGACTGCTGTTCTCTGTGTCACAGTGGCTCTCCGCAATGCCAAAGCTGACTCTCTCTCCTCTGTTCTCATCCTCCTAGATCTATCTGCTGCCTTCGACACTGTGAACCATCAGATCCTCCTCTCCAACCTCTCAGGGCTGGGCGTCTCAGACTCTGCAACACTCTTGGATTGCATCCTTCCCGGCAGGCCGGTCCTACCAGGTGACGTGGAGAGGATCTGCACCACGTACTCTCACTACTGGTGTCCGCCAGGGCTCGGTTCTAGGCCCTCTCCTCTTCTCTTCTCTCTATACACCTAGTCACTCTGCTCCGTCATATCCTCACATGGTCTCTCCTATCATTGCTATGCGGATGACGCTCAACTACTTTTCTCCTTCCCCCCTTTTTCACCCAGGTGGCGACACCCCCCCAGCTTTGATTCTACTGACAGATGCGTTATTGAGGAAAAATGTACTGTCTATGCCTGTGATATGTGGTTGTCCCACCTAGCTGTCTTAAGATGAATGCACTAACTGTAAGTCGCTCTGGATAAGAGCGTCTGCTAAATGACTAAAATGTCAATGTAAATGTACTGATTTCTGTGTGTGTGTGGTGTGTGTGTGTGTGTGCATGCATGCAAGTAGAAAAAACATGTTGACTCACCCTACTTGTAGAGAAACGCCAATGCCATACTCCTCTTTCATGTTGCCTAAACGGTCTATGACTCTGTCATACAGTACACACTTTTAGTTTTTGTTGTCCTAGGCTACCTGGCTAAAATACATGCTTGCTAGCCTAACTTCCTTTCATGGGCAAAGATACGCCAGGCCAGCTTGTTAACATTAGCATACTATGTATAGCTATATGTTGAACTTCCATCCTCTCAGGCCAGGGGCACATCAATGTATGAATTAATGGTTGGATCAGAATCGCCGTTATAATCATTGGATGTTATAATCCAGTCCAAATCCCTATCTCCGTCCATGGCTAATTTAGGAAAGGGACGATTTTAGCTAGCTAGCTAGCAACTGGAGGACAACAACACAATGGAGATGCAACAATTAAAGTTTTTTTTCTGTCAATAATGACGGTTGGCTTGTGATGTGATTGGTCTGAAGCCAAATACAAACTGGCTTCCCTTTACACTTTTTTTTTTGGTGCGCCAGGACCATTCACAGCTGAGCTCACTCAGTTTAGCTCAACACTGATTGGCTATTATTTTTAATGTTTTATCAAAGGAGGCCAAATGCTCGCTGGCTTCCCTTGCCATTCAATGCTACGGGCATCAACAATGTCATACTCTTTCTGACCAGACAGCATCAGATAGATACGTTACACATACTGAGACAGAGGGGCGCTGTTTTGTTCGCTTGGATGCTTTCTCCGGTGAGATACATTCAGTCTCTTGCGAATTGAAGGAAACACAGAGACGAAAGATACATTATTTTGTATGTTTTTTTGTTATTTTCTTGTTCATTTTTGGGGGAAGCCTGGCTGCTATTGGCATCCATGAATACACGCCACTGCTTTTGACATCACTTTGACATTAGCTGCATCCCTTCTAGCCATGACCTTTAAATAAGGGGTCAGAGTTACTCACACACAGCAGAGATGAGGAGGAAGAGGATGGCAACAGAGAGCAGCCCAGCGTCTTTACTGCAGTAGGACAGCAGACGCCCCAGTGTGGCCCCTGAGTTCGTCTGGTCCTGTGTCCCTTTCCTGCTTGCCCTCCTCCTCTTCTTCCCCCCATGCTCCTGTCCTTGCTCCTCCACCTCTTCAGTGCCATTCTCTCCAGCTGTCTCCACCAGCCTCTCAGTCTCCTCACAGCCCCCCTCTCCTCCTCCTCCACCACCACCACCTCCCTCTTCTTCAGTAACAGTGTTGGGAGTCCTTCCCAGGAGCCTCCAGAGGAGCACAGTCCCCAGCGCTGACACACAGGTCCAGGAGAACAGGCTGAGGAGCCAGGGTTGGTGCACCAGATCACCCTGCTCCGACAGCATCAGCAGCTTGGCTAAGGCGTAGGTACTGATGGTCAGGCAGATGAGGAGAGTCAGGGTCCCCAGGGCAGAGACCCTGCGTGGACCGTCCACTCTGTTCCATAACACGCCTATGGAGGCCCCCAGCAGAAGGCAGACTCTGACCAGCACAGTACCCCAGAGGTCCAGGACGGAGTGGAGAATGTCAAAGTTCTGCCCATCCTCTGTGAATATTGCAGTCTGGGATCCGTGTAAGTACATGACAGTGGTGACAATAACATCCACAAGGATGAATACCAAGATGCAGCTCACCACTACTATGACCCCCATTCTGTTTCAGTCTATCAGGGGTGTAGTGTCATGTAATGTCAAAAAGTCTAGGGAGAAACAAGTTTTAATAGAGCTGCTATTACAAGATATGAATAGGGTACTACAATTATAAAGGGTTTTTTCAGACTATAGTTTTGAATTCAACCCGAATTGTATGCCTACCGTGATCACTAATGCGCCTGTGACATCAGGTTTCAAGGGCTTGCGTTACTTTATCACATTTCCCTACCGTTGCTTGTCTTTTCTCTGATATTCGATTACTCAACAGCTTTCCTTGATACAGTAATTGGTTATATTTTAGGCGATAGACCAGTCTCTCGACGTCTGTCGCATTCTTGTTTCATCCCGTATTGTTTAGTGTTTACGGAAGCCGGTAATAGTCATGGTGTGAGAGGCTCCTCCCACAAGATAATGCAAGGACTGGATTGATTGGCGGGCAAATAGAGAACCAGACCTGTACATTGTTATTTTTATTAGGTTTATTCAAAATAGAGAGAGAGAGTGTGTGGGAGTGTGTGAGTGAGTGAGTGTGTGTGTGCGTGTGTGTGTGCGTGCGTGCGTGCGTGTGTGTGTGTGTGTGTGTGTGTGTGTGTGAGTGAGTGAGTGAGTGAGTGAGTGAGTGAGTGAGGAGAGAGAGAATTTTGACAAACAGAAGAACTGAAAATGTGCATTAAGTGAAAGTAATATTTATCATTACAGTCTTAAAGCTGCAATATCTAACTTCTTGGGTGAACCGACCAAATTCACATAGAAATGTGAGTTAAAGCTCTGTAATTCCCATTGACAGCAAGTCTAAGAAGCAGGGGAGAACGACTGCCGCCCTCGCATTGAAGATGTAAAGTTCAAGGCCGACCGCCGCGGTACTGCAGGCAATTGTTTCCAGAAAACAGGATCCCTCGATTATAGTCAATGGGAGTTTGGCGATCTTCGTGGACAATATTCGTGGATATAAAAACATTTCCCGAACACAATCATGTACTAATACTTGCTTCTATTTCACCAGATATATGTCCTTGAACCGATTATTTTAAAATCACACACAGCGAAGTTATGAGGATAATTTTGTTGCTACCGGCAGTTAGTTTTGACTTCACAATCCTGTGTAGAGAAGAAAAGAGAAACCCTTATGGTCATTGCAGCCTGCGGGAAAGATGTTCCCGTCTCCTCCCGCCCTACAGGCTGATGTAAACGCTATCAGAGCTATTTTTATGATCTCTGATGGCTCCAATTTCCAGCGTTTGTTCTTCAGAGTCGTTTGGATACAGTGTTGATAGCAAGGGCAAACATAGCTTGTTCAGGATTTAACTGCACTAATCACTATTGCAAGGAGGATGATGATCTTTTTTTGTGGTAAATCTGTCATCTGATTAAATTATGATCTTCACTTTCATATTTTCGTGTCAACTAGGGCTAGGCTTATGCTAGTAGAGGGTTAGCTAACAGATAGCCTAGCTTCCAATGCTAGCTTAGCATGAATGTTCTAATTTTATGTTCAATAATGAGTGACATGCGAAGCATCTTACAGTATGTTTGCTTGATTGCTAGTAGCAAGTGTGTTCATGGTTTGTCACAGAGGTCAGTCATTAGCTAGATAGTGTTAACTAGCTAGCTAATATCAACTCCGCATGCACCTGCCTGTTGTGGCTGATCCGGTGGCAGCATATACAGTGGCTTGCAAAAGTATTCACCCCCTTGGCATTTTTCCTATTTTGTTGCCTTACAACCTGGAATTAAAATGGATTATTTGGGGGTTTGTATCATTTGATTTACACAACATGCCTACCACTTTGAAGATGCAAAATATTTTTGATTGTCAAACAAACAAGAAATAAGACAAAAAAACAGAAAACTTGAGCGTGCATAACTATTCAATAGCTTGAGCGTGCCCCAAGTCAATAGCTTGAAGAGCCACCTTTTGCAGCAATTACAGCTGCAAGTCTCTTGGGGTATGTCTCTATACGCTTGGCACATCTAGCCACTGGGATTTTTGCCCATTCTTCAAGGCAAAACTGCTCCAGCTCCTTCAAGTTGGATGGGTTCCGCTGGTGTACAGCAATCTTTAAGTCATACCACAGATTCTCAATTGGATTGAGGTCTGGGCTTTGACTAGGCCATTCCAAGACATTTAAATGTTTCCCCTTAAACCACTCAAGTGTTGCTTTAGCAGTATGCTTAGGGTCATTGTCCTGCTGGAAGGTGAACCTCCGTCCCAGTCTCAAATCCCTGGAATCCCTGGTTTCCCTCAAGAATTTCCCTGTATTTAGCGCCATCCATCAATCCTTCAATTCTGACCAGTTTCCCAGTCCTTGCCCGATGAAAAACATCCCCACAGCATGATGCTGCCACCACCATGCTTCACTGTGGGGATGGTGTTCTCGGGGTGATGAGAGGTGTTGGGTTTGCGCCAGACATAGCGTTTTTCTTGATGGCCAAAAAGCTCAATTTTAGTCTCATCTGACCAGAGTACCTTCTTCCATATGTTTGGGGAGTCTCCCACATGCCTGTTTGCTTATTCTTTTCTTTAAGCAATGGCTTTTTCTGGCCACTCTTCCGTAAAGCCCAGCTCTGTGGAGTATACGGCTTAAAGTGGTCCTATGGGCAGATACTCCAATCTCCGCTGTGGAGCTTTACAGCTCCTTCAGGGTTATCTTTGGTCTCTTTGTTGCCTCTCTGATTAATGCCCTCCTTGCCTGGTCCGTGAGTTTTGGTGGGCGACCCTCTCTTGGCAGGTTTGTTGTGGTGCCATATTCTTTCAATTTTTTTATAATGGATTTAATGGTGCTCAGTGGGATGTTCAAAGTTTCTGATATTTTTTTATAACCCTAGCCTGATCTGTACTTCTCCAAAACTTTGTCCCTGACCTGTTTGGAGAGCTCCTTGGTCTTCATGGTGCCCCTTGCTTAGTGGTGTTGCAGACTCTGGGGCCTTTCAGAACAGGTGTATATATACTGAGATCATGTGACACTTAGATTGCACACAGGTGGACTTTATTTAACTAATTATGTGACTTCTGAAGGTAAATGGTTGCACCAGATCTTATTTAGGGGCTTCATAGCAAAGGGGGTGAATACATATGCACGCACCACTTTTCCGTTATTAATTTTTTAGAATTTTTTGAAACAAGTTCTTTTTTTCATTACACTTCACCAATTTGGACTATTTTGTGTATGTCCATTACATGAAATCCAAATAAAAATCCATTTAAATTACAGGTTGTAATGCAACAAAATAGGAAAAACGCCAAGGGGGATGAATACTTTTGCAAGGCACTGTATTGGCAGGCAAGACTAACAATGTTAGGCCGAATGAAATTGATCTTGTCTGTATGCAGGTTCATGTATTTAGTTTTCACGTTCCCATTTTATGACCCAACTTCATTTATAGTCTACATTTATGTGATAAATGTTGGCTCCTGTGAACTAACGTTAGCTAGCTAGCTGAAGTTAATGGTTGACAGGTTCAGACATCAATACTTAGCTACTAGCATTATCTTGCCCCAGAAACTGCTAGCTACTTCATCATGGCACTAACTTAGTATTCCACAAATGGGCATTCTTTCTGACACAAACAGGATCATGACAATTAGCTAACGTCAACTAGCTAGCTAATATATCTTGATTAATTATGAAAATGAATTCGCGTTCATAGAGCTCTTGTTGCAGTTACATAAAGATAGCACAATCAGCCATGTTATTTATAACTTATGAATTCATGTGAGTGAATGCATGTGAGTGAATGTGAATGTCTAAGCAATGATGAAAAAAGATTACACCTACTCAGCATGAATATTTTTTTTGTACAGTATGTTAAATTCAGGCCTAATGGCAATTACCAGATGTCATTACACTTTTTGATGTTTTGTGTAACATATGTCTTTTTCCATTCACCACTGTTTGGAGGCTGGAAATACAGTATGTTGCAAGTGGATGAATGTGCATGGGTAGCCAAGTAAAGTAGCCCGCTGAAGTGATTGTTTGACAAGCGTGTGCACACATAGGAGTTCTTTACCAGGAATAAATACATTTTTACTTTCACGCCTGATGGAAAGAGACTACTAAGGAAGGTTTTGTGGACATGTAAGGCCAACATTTACAATATAGCCATTAGCCACTGATTCTAGCAGATTATGTCTAGCTATATGCCTCATGACTTCAGAATGACTCACTCCATCATAACCCAAAATATAACTCTGAATGCTTACAAATGGGTAAGCAAACCATTTATTGCATTCAACATATGTTTATAACTCCTATTTGGATGTCTGACTATCAGTCCTAGCAACATGTGGACTCTTTATCACTCTTACCTTAATCATAGTTGATTCTCCAAGGTCATTTTTTAAAATAGATTATTGCAGATATTGACATAGTTGTCATCCAAGTTTTGTTTTCGATATTGCTATTGATCTCCATGTATTCTAAAAATATGTATAAAACACCTTACAAACACACCAAACCAACTTGTATTGTATCTGAACCCATGATGTCATATTATTTGGTTTGGAGTCTTTAAGGTGTAGTAGACATATTTTCTAAAATACAGACTATGGAAACAAAATATAGCTTCTAAACAATGAAGAAAATATATAGTAAAATGGTAAAAGCACAAACTACAATCAATGTACTAGTGATAAAGGGTCAACATGTACAAATGGAGGAATTACTCCCTGTTATTTGTTTAGAAATGCAGTCCCTCCTGCAGCAAATCACTCCCGCAGCATGATTCTGCCACCCCCGTGCTTCACGGTTGGGATGTTGTTCTTCGGCTTGCAAGCCTTCCCCTATTTCCTCCAAACATAACGATGGTCATTATGGCCAAACAGTTCTATTTTTGTTTCATCAGACCAGAGGACATTTCTCCAAAAAGTACGATCTTTGTCCCCATGTGCAGTTGCAAACCGTAGTCTGGCTTTTTCATGGCGGTTTTGGAGCAGTGGCTTCTTCCTTGCTGAGCGGCCTTTCAGCTTATGTCGATATTGGACTCGTTTTACTGTGAATATAG